TTTAGATGGGGTCTTGCTATATAGACAAGGCTGGCCTTGAACTCACAATGATCCCAACTCAGCCTCCTGAGTGATGGGACTACAGGTGTGCACCACCATAGCTGGCAGTGAGAGAAACAATCTTAAGCATATCTACCACCCAATTCTGGGCAAGATTCTCACCCTCAGGTGTTTTCCCGTTCAGGCTCCAAGTACAAAAAGTACAAAAGTGATGAGTCAGCAGTAGTAACTGTTCAAGTAAACAGCCTATCTCTTGGTTCAGAAGGCAAAACCTCTCAGTCTCTCTCCTCTCTCTCTCCTTTCTCTCCTCTCTTCTCTATCTTGCCTCTCTCCTCGTCTCTCTGTCTCTGTCTCTCTGTCTCTGTCTCTCTCCTCTCCTCTCCTGTCTCTCTCCTCTCTTCTTTCTCTCTCTCTGTGTCTGTCTGTCTGTCTGTCTGTCTGTCTGTCTCTCTCTCTCTTTCTCTCTCTCTCTCATCCTCTAGCTATCCTAGGTCTTTGCACTGTCATGTCATCAGCCCCCTTTTACATTATTATTTTGAGACAAGTTCTTACTAATTTGTGTGTCTGTTTGCTTGGATTGCCTAGGGCTCTCTGTGTTCCAGGAGTTGGAACAACTTGGTCACATGGCTCACCTCAGGTGCTCGGCCCATGTGATAGATCTCCAGTCTCAGCCACTCTTCACAAAACATAGTGGCACACACCTGGAACCCTAGCACACTAGGAGGCTGATGCAGGAAGACTACCAAGTTTGAGCACAGCTTGGGAAAACAGTGACTTAGCAAAACTTTGTCTCAGTAAAAAAAGGCTAAGGATGTAGCTCAGTGCAAAAGACCTGGGTTCAATCCTCTGTACCAAAAAACAAACGAACAACCTATTTTTACTTAATTACAGTATATCACAGTAACTTAGACCCATCTGCCTTGATGTTCTTGTGCCACTCACTGGGGCTGGCATCCTGATGAGCGGGGGAGGGAAGTCTAGTCTGGTCACCTGCCCTACTCCAGGGGAAAAGAGAGACTCAGTGACTCACAGAACCACAAGAAACTGGGCAGAGAAGTCTTCTCAGGAATGGGAAGTTGGGGCCAGATAGGCCAAAACAAAAGACATAATGGGGCTTAGGCTCAGTGCCAATGACAGTCAAAGTGAGCATGGCTCAACAAGGTAAAATTTTTCTTCTCCTGTGTAAAATTCTAGTAGTAATTCAAGCTGGCTCTTCTGCATGAAATAACAGGACCTAGCCTAGCTCATCTATGTTCAAGGACAAAATGGAGAAATGGAGAGGAAGTGGGGAGTGTGGCAAGGCTCTCTTGAGGATGATTCTGGGAAGCCCACACTTCCTCTTATGTCCCATTGGCCAAAACGTAGTTACATCACCACACCAATCTACAGTGCAGGATGGAGAATTTAGACCCTACTAAAATTCCATTAGTCCTAGAGAAGAATGGGTTTTAGGAGACAAGGCTGGGCATGGTGGTACACACCTATAATTCCAGCATTCGGGAGGCTGAGGCAGGATGATCGTTGTGAGTTTGAGACCAGCTGGGCTACAAAGTGAGCTCAAGGCCAGCCTGAACTGCATAAAGAGAACCTGTCTCAAACACACACACACACACACACACACACACACACACACACACACATTAGAGGACAGTGATCATGTTCTGTCATCATTTGCCATCTAGTTACCCACTATTTATATGCATGTTTTTCCACTTTTTTTTTTTTTGGTGATACTGGGGATTACACACAAGGCCTTTATGCTAAGCTACATCCCCCCTCCTTTTATTTTTATTTATTTATTTTTTGGGGACAGAATCTCACTATGTAGTTCGGGCTAGCAATTCCTCTATCTTGGCCTCTGAGAATGCTGGGATTACAGTGTGTACCACCATACTTGGCTCATACTTAATATTATAAAGTGTTCCTTCCCATCACAGTGTGACACCAGAACCTCACATTTATTCAAGGACACCATGCCTTCTCAAGAGCAACAACACAGAGAACCAGAGTCAGACACAGATACCAAAACAGCTACAAGTCCAGGACTTCTAGGGAAAGTCCTCTTTCTTTCATCCCATATCAACGTTGTACAACCAAGCTGGATCCTACCAGCTTCTGTGCAGCATTCTTTCCTCTAGGTACAGGGCAAGATCCTAGTGAAGAGAGGGTGCCATGACCTGTGATTGGGCAAAGGAAGATCAATGAATTTCTTTATGGTCAGTTCAAGAAAAAAATGAGGAGGGGTAAGGAGATAGGTTGGCAGTCTAAGCACCTGTCCGGCAAGCGCAAGGACCCGAGTTTGATCCCCATTACCAAAACTGGCTGCAGAGAGAGAACCTGCAGCAAATAATAAAATAAAAAGCAGGGGGTGTCAGAATTAATTTCTTTTTAAAAAAATTGTATGTATTCGGTACAGGATCTCACTACACATTTCGGACTCTAGCGATCCTCCTGTGTTTAGCCTCCCCAGCACTGTGATTACAGGGGTGCGCCACCACACCCAGACTCGGTTGCTGGCTCAGAGCACCCAAGGGTGGGGCTCACACAGCATGTGAACCCTGATCCTTGTGCTTGCCTAAGCATAGTCCACTAAACTATCTGACTAGCCCCAGAATTAATTTCTTTCTATTATTATTATTTTTTGAGACAGGGTCTCCCTATGTAGTCTAGGCTGGCCTCAAATTCACAGTAATCCTCTTACTTCAGGCTCCTAAGTGATAGTTGTGCCACAACACCCAGCTGAGGCAGAAAAACGCTAGAATTTCTACAGTCCACCCTGGAGAAGAGAAATTTTGTTTCTTCTGGGTTTCTATGGGTGCCATGGAGAGTTCTGAGCCCAGAACTGTGGATGAAAACTAATCTATTTTATATATATATAGATCTATAGATATATATCTATATCTATATATCTATATCTATATATCTATAGATATATATCTATATATATCTATAGATATATATGTATTTTTTTCTTTGTATTTAGTACAGGGTCTACAGGATCTCACTACACAGATCTCGTGATCCTCCTGTTTTCAGCCTCCCAAGTGGTGGGATTACAGGCACTGCCACTGCACCCAGTCTCATTTGCCATCTCAACATGCTCTGGGGCAGGGCCAGCACGGCACACAGGGGATCAAAGCCCCATCCCTGCATCTGCCTAAGCAGGTGTTTTAATCTGCTGAGCTATCTGGCTGGCCCTTATATATATATATCATCTCTGTGTGTGTGTGCGCGTGCGTGTGTGTGTGTGTGTGTGTGTGTGTGTGTGTATGATATTGGGAATTGGGCCCAGGACCTTTGCACTGAGCTACATCCTTAACCTCTTTAAATTTTCTTTTATTTTGTTTTTTTTTATTTATTTGAGAGAGAGAGAGAGAGAGAGAGAGAGAGAGAGAGAGAGAGAGA